CATGTGACACACCCCTCATCCACCCCGCAGTGGGCCAGCTGTGGGCCATTTAACTCATTCCCACAGGAAAGCCTGTGGTTGCAAGGGAGCAAGGCTGCTGTGGCCGTGAGGACAACCTTGAAGCTCTTCCAATTTAACACGAGAGGAAATTACTACCGAACAGGAACGTTTTCGGGTATTGGTGATGAAATGACAACTGATGGTGACCCGCCAGGCGTGGTTGAGTTCTCTGTAAGATGAGTGTAGCAGCTGACTGCTGCTAGGAGCCAAGAGAGTCTTATTTCTCTAGATGTGGCCACGGCAAAAGCCCCGATGCCTGGATGGAGGCAGCGGAGACTGGGAGTCTGCAGTGGGCCCCCAACCATCAGCACTGCAAGGCACTTGGAGGCAGAAATGGGGTGGGAGAATGCGACAGAGAATAGGTGGATGAACTTCCAGGAGATGCAAACCAGCAGAAATGTGATAGAATCAGCCAGGCTGTTCAGCCAACAGAGTGAAGAGGCCTCCTGAATCCATACGCTTTCTACCCCTTATGTACAGAGGGTGGCCAGGGAACCCCTGGTTCTTCATGGGACGGGACAGAGGCCTGTCCAATGTGTGGAGGGTGCGGTGAGTTACGGAGCCTGAGTCCTGTGCAGGCTGTCTGCATGCTCACAGCAGCTTGGCAGGTGATTCAGAGGTGGGAGGTCCACAGCCACAGAAGGAGGGCGTTCTACCACTGTTCTTCTGAACTGGGGGCTGCCAGTGCCCGTGGAAGGGTGAGTGGGAGACCAGGATTGCTGGGTCCTGAGTGGGTCCCTTTTAGGGAGCCAGACAAACTCAGAGGCAGTCTCCCGGGAGTGTGAGTAGGACTGATTCGTTCCTCACCAAGTTCAAGAAGCTTGGTCTCCAGACCTGTCATATGGTTTCCTCACCCCTCCATCTTTGTACCCTCATCCCAGAATGAGAGGAGAAGGGATTTGGGACCTCAAGCAAGAGAAGAATGACTTTCCTGAGAGTGACACTGTTTGCTAAGAAACTGGTGGGATAAGGAGTGGAAACCATCAGACCACTCCTAAAAACAATCAAATGAACCGGGGTTACTCATGACCCATAGCAGCTGCGTGGCACAAATCTCATTTAGCATCAAGTGAAAGGGAGCCATTAGCCTGGTGAATGCATTATTCTGGTCTCCACCCAACAGGCCATGCTCCAGAGTGTCCTCTATGCAGATGTTTCAGAAATGCTCCCAGCCCTTCCCATCCCTGCTCCCTTCCTCCCTGCCAGTGGTCCTATCACAGAGACCTTGCAATGGTGCCGGGGTAACCAAGAACCCAGCTGCTGCCTCTTTCTCTCTCTCTTTGCCAAAGAGCCGGCTGACCACAAAGGAGGGCCTGTGCCTGGCAGGTCTACTGTCAAAGAACGAGCCACTGTCTATACGTAGAGGGAGGTGAGAGCCTCTCCTGGTGACTCAGACACAATCAGATACAAGAACAAAAGAGTTAGCCAGGGCTGCATGCCCACCACATGCAGGAACAGGAAGGGGCAGGGTGGAGATCAAAGAGCAGAGAGGAGAGGGAAAAGGAGTGATCCCTTTTAGGAGAACTGCTACTGATGTGGCCAGGACCCACCCCCTTGTCATTTCCTCTGCACAAGGGAAGACAATGCACAAGTATGATGTCTCAACGCCATGGTGAACTGATACATTTTGTCTTTGGTCACCAAGTCAGGAACAACTCCTGGTCTCTTTACTCTTTGAAAAGACACCAAACCTGAGCTTTTTGCTCCTCTGAGAAAAGGAGAGAGGGACTCTAACGCAGGCCTGTCGTGT